TTTAAAATTTTTCAAAACGTTGAAGATCTCAATCCTGTTGTTGGATTTTGTGAGGGTACTCTCAAGGGTTGCGAATCTTGCCTCTGAATATGCCTGCTCAAATTCTTGTAGTTTTTGAGATATGACGTTTTTTTTCAAAATTTTTCAGCAAACTTATGTATAAAAAATTTCACAAAACTTGAAATTTTCATCTCTTTAGTGAGGCTCTGTCAGAGAAATCTCAGGAGTTGCGAGTTTTACCTCCCAATTTGACTGCTCAATCCTTGTAGTTTTCCAGATATGACGTTGTTTGTGATTTTTTCATAAAAATTTTCATGAAAATTAAATTAATTGTTTTTTCCAAAATAGAATTTCCTAACCTGTTGTTGGGGGGCTGTCAGAGTAATCTCAGGGATTGGAAATTTGGGCTCCAGTTAAGAATGCCCAAATCATTTTTAATTAAGAGATACGACGATTTTTGTGATTTTTTTGTGGAAATTTTCAGAAAACTAAATAATTCGTTGAAGTGAAATTCACAGCCCTGTAGTTGTGTACTTTCAAAGATTGCAAATTTTGCCATCAAAAAAGACTGCTCAAACTTTTGTAGTTTTCGAGATGTGAACACCTTTTTTTTTAGAAAACTTAAGGTGAAGTTTCTCAAAATTTGAGTTTCCCAACGTTGTAGTTGGGTGCTGTAAAAATACTCTCAGGAGTTGCAAATCTTGCGTCCAAATGCGACTGCTCAATTGCTTTCACTTTCCCAGATGTGGCGTTTCTTAGTTGGTTTTAAATTTTTCAAAGAACTTTTATAAAACTTCACAAAATTTTATGGTTCTTCAAAATTTGTATGAAAAACTTGAATAAAAAACTTTGCCAAATTTGTAATTACGAACCCTGTAATTGGGTGCTGTCAGAGTACACTCAAAGAATAGTTTTTTGAGTTGTTGGAAAATCGAAGCACCGGAGGTGTGTTACACGCTAGTCTGTATCTATTCTCGAAAATTGTTTTGACATCACCACTTTAATGACCCTAGAGCTCTATACAGCACATAACAAACGATTTCAAATACACCCGAGCGCCCCTCCCCTCACAGTACATCTTTGAGGCCATGATTTAAATTGTTAATTGTGTTTTTTTTTGTGTTAATTGCTACGACTCTTCTCAGTACGAAAATAAATATCAAATTGAGAAAAGTCAAATTTGCGTTTTTGCTGGTTTTTTGGAAACTTATTTTTCTCGAAAAGTTCCCTGCCTAACCTCATTTGAATCGAAATAAGGCTTCAAGGAATCATCCCTGCATTAGCTGATTTGCTCTATTTTTTGTTGGATTAAAATAATCGCCTTGGGTAAAATTATTTGCATTTCCGATTTTTGGAAACTGTTTATGACGTCTCAAAAACTGTGGTTCAATTGGAACAGCCAGACTTCGGCCTTCTTTGCTGCATAAGCTGGTACGTCATTGTTTATGTAAAAAATAGCTATAGCCTCTGGAATAGTCAATTTGGTTATTTTTTGACTTTTGTCCTGCTAAACCTGAGATTGAGGGTTCAGTTTAAGGAATAGGTTGCTAAAGTTTTTGTTCACAAGCTGCGACTCCTTAGTTTTTGAAAAAAAAATGTGTTCTTGTATGAAGTCAATTTTTTGAAATCGACACCGTTTTTGCTCTTTTTGCAAACTCCATTGTTCTCGAAATACCCTGCCAAATCTGAGATCAAGAGATCAATCGAACAAACTAGTTATTGAAATATTTACTCTATAACTGGCTCAGCGATTATTGATTCAATCGAAACAACAGCCTTTGGGAATCTTCCCTGTTGCAGCAACTACGCCTTATTTTTTGTAGAAAAACAGTGTTTTGTGGTTGTTTTTCGGAATTTTCTCTCATGCACTGGCTCTTCTTTTTCTGAAAACAATAAATTTATTGGAAGCGCATGTTGTAAAGATCTCTGTATAAACGGTTACATACTTTTTCCATTTTCCATTGATATTTTTTGGATATTTTTCCTCTGCTTTAAAAAATACCCCGCAATAACTGATTTTGAGTTTAATTAAAAGAACGGAAAGTAGGCTCTTCCCTACATAAGCGGCATCTACATTTTTTCAGTGGAAACCACTAAGGGTATGGGTTAAGACCAATTCTTGAAGTTATGAAATTTACGCATACTCCCGTCTTGGTACAAGGTGCTCTAGTAAAAACTTTTTCAACTTTTTTGCTCTTAATTTTCTTATGAAAAGAGTGTTTTTCGGCTCAACAGGTGGTCAACCATTGTTTTGTCTTAAATGCCGCTCGGTCATCGAATTTTTTCCAGTTAATTTTTTCAAACATTTTTTCAACTTAATTTAAAACAAAATCCGACTGCAGTCTTTTTCTCTATTTTATCTTCGGAACACTTGTAATACAACAAAAACATTGCGTTACGAGAGAGTGATTAAAAAAAAGACACTAAGGTTGGATGTTTTTTGAAAATTATGTTGAAAAATTGTTTGGAGAAAAAACTTGAAAATATTCGATTACCGAGCGGCAACTGAGTCAAAACTATGGTACACCACCCGCTGACCCGAAAAAGATAAACTTCATTAAAAAAAATTTTGAAGAGCTTTCACTACAGTATGTTCTTACTAGAGTAAGTCACCACAATTTTTCTACCAAAAATAAGGAGTAGTTGCTGCGAGAGGGGAGGTTCCCAAAGGCTGTTGTTTGACCAAACCTTGAAAGTTAGAAACAACTGCCACTGGAAATCTTCCATGTAGCAGCGAACACGCCTTATCTTTCGTAGAGATTTTGTAATGACTTACGAAATCTTCCTTTTACCTGCAATTACGCCTTATTTTTCTTTTTAAATTTTTTTTCTATTATCAAACACTGGGCCTTCCATTTCTGAGTTTAAAATTTTTAATTGAAAGAGCATGTGTTCCTTTCTGCAAAAACGATTACTTTTTTCCATTTCCTAAATTTTTGATTATTTTTTTTGTATATTTTTCCTGTTCTTGAAAAACTACGCTGCAAAAACTGATTTTGAGTTCAATTAAAAGAACAGAAAGCAGGCTTTCACCTATATAAGCGACTTGACATTATTTCAGTGGAGACCAGTAAGGGTATGGGTTAGGACCAATTCTCGAATTTTTGTAATTTACGTTTACTCCCGTCTTTCGGCAAAAGAATAGTTAAATATCACACGGCATTTTAGTTTTGCTTTTAACACGGCGTTTGAATTTGTCACTTGGGGATTATATATTTTTAGCAGCAGGCCAACGCACTAACCGACTATTACATTTTGTAAAAAGGTTTCGCGTTTGAAAGAGTCCCATGTGTTTACAACTTCAGAAAACAAGGTTTACAATTTCATGTGTAAAAAAAAGGTCTGACTTGCGAAGAAAATAGGAAATATTTATTCTTGAAGTTTTTTTTCCAGACCGATTTAGCAAAAAAGTTCAGTGGGGATCGAATCTGCAATCTACGTTTTTTGATGCGGGTCTGATATGCACTATGCTGCTTGCGCTTTAGTTGCTCGTTTAATTCTTTGAAGAGTTTATCTGGAATGATGAAAACGTAACGCAGATTATTATCCCACGCACAAAATTACTCCGAATTTAAATCAGTCAAGCTAGTTCAGACTTTTGAGGAAAGTGGCGGAATATTTGTGCTCACGGTCGTCTTTTTTCCTCAGGCAAATTTCTATTTTCAAGCAGCCTTTTTTGACGATTTTTTTTAAATATCATTCGAAAGGTATTGTTGTCCTGGACTTAAATTTAAAAAAATATTTCACCTGTGATCGTTTTTTGTAAAGTTACGGGTGTTTAATGATTGCAAATTTGGGACAATTAACGCGCTAGAAACTTCGTGGTGGGTATTAACACGTAAGCTGAGATTTAATTGTCTTAGAAATTGTTCCAAATTGGATTGAGGCATGCTATTTGGTGTATTCAATACTTTGTTGTATGCGCACTTTGTTTTTAACATACGCGGTGGGGTGATTTTCAAAACTCTAAATAATTAAATTTTTCTATTTTTGAAATTTTTTCAGCTCATTTAAAGGGAACACTTTTTAAAAGACAGTCGGGACGTTTAGGGCATCTCCCTGATACGATCAGTTTTGTTGATTATATTATTTCCTTTTGCAATAGTAAGTTGTGGGATTGGTTACTAGGTACAAAATGCTCATATGTTTAACCGTTGAGTTGACTTAATTCGTTAAATGGGATGGCTTTTTGTTACTAGGTACCAGGGCGACCAGTTAACGAGATCCCTTTATATGACTCAAGTTGTAGCACTTGATATTTGATCCTAACAGACAAATCAATCCTGCTCAGAAATTGATGAAAATTCAAGCAAGGAGTGCCAATTGGTCCGAATAATTGTGTAGTAGATGCGAAATATGTCGCTTTATAGTTTAAAATGTGTGGGGGGAAGTTTTTGGAAGTGTTAAAACTTATTCAGATATTTTGAGGTGGAGTTGGAACAAACTGGGTAACGTCCTGCTATCAGCAGTCTTGCTTTTCTAAAATATATGCCCAAGTCGTAAGCAGCGGACTGATTAGGCAGGAAAAGGTTTGCACGTTGAATTGAGCCTAGAAATATGAACCAAAAGAAACGTTACTTGATACAAAAGCATATTTTGATTTTCCTATCTACTTTGCGTCAGGTTTTTGATATTCATATCTACTTTGCTTCAGCTTTTTGATAGTTTATTTAGTCATAGAAACTTTTCCTGGAAGGAAGACAGTTTTAAAAAACGTTTAAAAATCTTCAATCAGAAAAGATTAAAATTGGCTCGCAGAATATGCTGCTGATCTCGGAAATTCGAAACATACTTACATTTTATATACATCAAAGTCTACTTGACAAATTCAAAGGCACGCGAAGCATCCGGGGCTTCGCTGTGTTGTTGATAGCAATCTTATATTATTTTTAAATGATCAGCGTAATGCAGTTTTTTGTGACATCGTTGGATATACCAATATTCAAAACAGAGTATATTATTTGCTCGCGCTTTTTTTGTATTTGTTTTTCATTGGCGCTACAAAGGCGGCTAATGCTTGTACAATAAACGCTTTTGCACAGCAACTACGCTTATTTACGGCGGATGAGTCATACATACATTGCTTCAATTGTACCATCGTGCCTCATACAGAACATGTAAAGAAAACTGAGTTAGCAACTGAATTAAATCAAACACATTTGGTTGGTATGATGTCAAGTTATGAATGTGTTAAAACACAGCCCTCATTTTAGATGCAAAAGTTGCAATTGGTTAGTAAATTATAAAACATGCTGTTACGCACGCATTGTTTCGAGTTATTTTTTAAAGACCATTTGTACAAGAAAAATTTTCTTAATTCGTACACAGCGTGTTTTCAGACTTCTTGAACATATCATAGTTGTACAAAGTATCAGCTTTACCTAATTCCGATTTTGGAAAAACAGCAAAAATGGCGTTTGATGACGATTATATTCAACGAACGGGCACAGTTAGATCAAATTTGAGTTACACCAGCACAAAAACTCTCCCTGGAAAAAGTTCATACACAATATATTTGCTGGATGGACAGCCCGTGCAAATACAAATTGATCGAAAATCAAAAGGTCGCGACCTTTTCGAGACATGCTGCGCGAATATGGACACCCCAATTGACGAGAAATTTTACTTCGCGTTGTCGTTCGATATCAAAGAACACGGTAACTTGCGACGAACTTGGATTGACTTCAACAAGCCTTGTGCAAGACAGATGATCAATGCTCCTAACAAGGCTCTCGCGATGAACGTTAAGTTCTACCCACCCGACCCCACTCAGTTGTTGGAGTACACTCGGTACCTGTTCTACCTGCAGCTTAGAGATGACGTCTGCAAAGGAAAGATGCAGCCCATGATTTTGGGAACGCAAAAAGTTCTAGGATCCTACATCTGTCAAGCGGATGTCGGCGATTACCAGGAAGGTGAAAATTATGATTTCCTTTATGATTTCCCGTTCGGTCCCGGAGATAACTCAGCCGAAATGGTCGAAGGAATAATTGATATCTGGAAAGGTCATCGAGGCATGACCACCGGAGAAGCTGAGTTGAATTACCTAGAGAATGCTAAAAAGTTGCCGATGTATGGAACGGAGCTCTATCCTTGCGAAGACGCAGATAATATCGAAATTGATCTGGGTATAAATTGGTCCGGAGTTCTTGTTTTCAAGAACAAAACCAGAATCAACCGTATTTCGTGGCCCAAGGTTCTGAAGATATCCTACAAGCGTGATTATTTCTACATCCGAGTTCGACCGGCTGAAAATGACAAGTACGAAAAGACCATTGGGTTCAAAACGGAGGGCTACAAGGCGGCCAAAAGGCTTTGGAAAATATGTGTAGAACATCACGCTTTCTTCCGATTGGTCAGAACCGAACCAAAGTCGAAGAAAATAAAGTTTGGTTCTAAACCAAATATGACTTTTCAAACTGAATACCAGGTTCGAAAGCATAACGAGACGCTAAGAAGTCAATATCAGACATTTGACAGGTACAATACTATGGACACTGTGAGGAGTTTGAGTTTAACCAGAAGTGGAGGTCAGGGAAATTCAAACCGACGGGCATTTTCAATGGATGAAATTTTAGGCCCTGATGAAGGCAGGAAAAATCGACATGAAGACGAATATGTCATTGAACCAAGTTCAAACGACCAGTTCCAACAAATGTACGACAAACATTTGCCCCTGGAAATTGGAAGTGACAAGAATCAATACCTGGCTAGACTCGAATTGATGAATGCTCGAGATTCGACAGCCAGTCAACAGGAGGCAACGCCTCCACCTGCAGAGGTAGCTCAGCAGGTTGAAAGGGACAGTCCAGCGGACGATTCAAAGAGAAACAGAAATGACCGCCAGTACAATTCGTACAGAAATACAACTACTGCGAATCCAAGTTACCGGAACGACAGGAACCAAGATGATCATATCGAGCAGCAGCAATTCGGTAGGATGAGTCCGAATGGAGAAAGAGAAACGGGCCTTACTGAGCAAAGATTGTCGCCTGAAAACATGGAAAACATTCCTATCAAGGAAGAGCACCCAGAAAAGGTTTACGAGCGTCAGCCTGATTCTGCCGCAGAATCAGGAATTAAATCTGGTCTCAAATTGGGCTTGGGGGTGTTCAAAAGAGGCGATAAAGATAAACGCAGTAAAGATAAACCAGCGAAAGAACTTAAGGAAATAGAAAAGAAGTCGAAGAAAAACAAGAAAGACAAAACTCAAGCCGAGTTGTCTCCTGAAAGGCCTTCTGCACAACATCATGAAGGAGAACGAAATTTTGATCCCAGTTTTGATGCTGGTTTTGAAAGGGAGCCCCATCGTTTTGCTCAAAAATCATCTTTCGAGAGAATGCAAGAGCAGGGTGAGCTTAGCATGGGATCTGACGCTGATATACACGGTCGACAGTCAAGTTATGACAGAGACGGAGCACGATCCAGACCGAACTCCAATTTCAAATTTGAAACAGAGCCGCTTCGTGGAAAACAGGGAAAATACGATGCTGGTAACCGATTCGAAGGACCACCTCAGAATCGGTATGAAGAAAAATACAGGATAAGCGATCCAACGGACGAGAGTTCGAGGTATCAATTCGATCAGGAAGATGAAGACGAAAGACCACCAGAACCAATAAGACCTCATTTGAATCCCACTGTAAGCGCATCTGATTCATTTGAACACCCAAATGCCATCACTGGATCACTTCCGAAACGGGTAATGCCCCCAAAGCCAGTTGGATTTTTCGACAGATCACGGTACCCAAAAAGAGACGATTCAGCTCAAAATCAACCTCCAGTTACTCATAGTCCGAGGAGATCTTATGAGACAAAAAGCCCAGATGTCAATCACGGTTATAATGCTCAGGACAGGAATTCAGGAAGCAATGATTTAATTCCTGGTTCTGGAAGGTTTGAACGAGCAACTGGGGACATTAAAGGAACTACTGATATAGAGTCTGATCGGTACAATTTGTACAAAAATAGAACAAAGCAAAATTACGAGGATCCAAGCTACCGCTACGATTTAGACACAGATTCGTACAGAAATGATTATAATAGTTTTGAGCAGCCTAGGGTGAGTCCCAATGCAGAAATGGAAATGGACCTCACTGAGCGAAGACTACCTAATCTAGAGAATCGTTACCATGACGATGAAAACCTGGAAAACTTAGGTCCTAACGAGGAACAGCATCCAGAAAACTTTTACGCGCCTCAGCCTGATCCTCGTGCAGAATCAGGAGGTAAGTTTGGTCTGAAGTTTGGCTTAGGTGTGTTCAAAAGAGGCGATAAGTCCCGCGGCAAGGAGAAACCAGTGAAAGAACACCAGGAAAAACATAAGAAGTCGACGAAAAATAAGAAGGACAAAAATCAAGCAGATTTTTCTCCTGAAAGACCTGCTCAGTCTGATGAAGGAGTACAAAGTTTAGATCACAGTTTTGAAGCTGGGTTTGATGTGGAACCGCCTCGTGTGGCTCGAAAATCATCTTTCGAGAGAATGCAAGAGCAGGGTGAGCTTAGAATGGGATCTGACGCAGATATGCATGGTCGGCCACGTTATGACAGAGACGCAGACTTGGATTTTCGCAGAAATCAAGATAGAAATGAAGATTTGAGGCCCCAAGCTGTCATGGGCTATAGAGACATTGAAATGCGGCCAGATTCGAACGCTTATAACAGAAATGAAATGGGGGATAATCGAGATCAGAATTACGACATGGATTTGAGGCCACGTTTTGGAAGGGAAGAATTAGAAGTCTTACGTGCAGATCCACATAATATCAGAGAGATGAGCGGTGATTTGAGCATTCCTTTAAGAAAAACGGAAGCTCCTGTCGTGCAATCCAGGCCGAACTCCAGCTTCGCCTTTGGAAGAAAGCCCTTCCAGGGAAGCTACGAGGCTGGTAATCGATTCGAAGGACAGCCTCATTATCGGTATGAAGAAAAGTACGAGGGGAGTGTTCCAGCAGACGAAAGTTTGAGATATCGATTGGAAGATGAAGATGGAGAAGTAAAACCACCAGAACCCCCAAGACCTAATTTGAATCCCACTGGCAGCGCATCTGCTTCATTTGAACCCCCAAATTACATCAAAGGATTAATGAGAGATGAATACCAGAACCCAGCAGCAGACTCCTCATCGAGTCGTTTTAACTATCAGAAAAGAGGTGGTTTAACGTCATACGGTTTCAATGCTCAGGACAGAAATTCTGGAAGCAGTGATGTGAATACTGGTTCTGGAAGGCTTGAACAACCGAAATCCAATGAAGACAGATCATGGGACTCAAAAAGAGACTATTCAGCCCGAAATCAACCTCTTCTTGCTGATCAACCGGAGAAATCTATTGAGCCAAAAAGCGCAGATATCAATTTGAAAGCTGAATTGTCATTTGAGAGTTCGCGAACTGGCGAAATGAGAGATGGTTACCAGAAACCAGCAGCTGAAGCCACATCGAGTCGTTTTAACTATCAGAACAGAGGTGGTCTAATGTCATATGGTTCTAATGCTCAGGACAGAAATTCTGGAAGCAGTGATGTGAATACTGGTTCTGGAAAGTTTGAACGACCATCCGACTACAAACCAGCAAACGCTAAACAGTTTGGTCAGACTCAGGTTTCAACATCAAGGTTCGAATCACCAAAGGTCAATAGGACTGAGGTGTCTACCAGTGGACTCAAATCAGAGTCACCTCCTGTTCAAAAACTGATCGATGACAGTAAGTTTGACATATTGTTCGAAAAGCCTGTTTTCTCAAGAACGGACGATGAAGATCTCTCTTCGAGAAGATCCACTTACCTGAATGCAAGAAAAGATTTTTTCAACAAAGCTGGGGCATCAGGCGTCAAAGAGAAATCATCATCCACTGTATATAAATCGCCCCCTGAAAGTCGAAACATTCCAGAAGTAGCATCAGTTAGTGTTAACAACTCAAATTCTGAAGCGTCAAAGGCTCCGCCTGTTGCACCGAAACCTCAGAAGGCTTTCAACGACCGTAGTTGGATCAGTGAGCGCCAACCGTACGAGCCCGGAACTAGAGTGTCGGGGCAAATGCCCCCCGGCGTTGCTGCAGTTCGTGGAATGGTTAAATCGCCGATCGAAAGCAGCGAAGACGAAATGATGACTCCAGCTGCTTTGAGTTCGGCAAATGGAACTTTGAATCTGAAAATCGCAGATTTGAGAATGGCTCCGGAAATACCAACAAAACCTTCACAGTTCGGGAGTAAAAGTATTCGATCGCAGCCGGAGACTAGTTCTAAAGTGTTTGTAAACAGCTCGGGAGATAATGGAAGTGGTTATTACTCTGAAAGCAGAGTTTATTCTCATGAGTTCAACAGCAATGATGACGCACACTTCAATGTTCCACCCAGTGAAAGACCTGGGGCTCCTGGGAGGAACACGGGAGGTCTGAGTGATATCTTTAAGAGTCAATTTGGAGACGCCAGTCATTCGAGGGGTTCGAATGTTAAATATCAGACGGAGAAAGAAACCACAGTTCATACACGAACAACAACGCACACTGTGCGAGGTATGCCAGCCATGATTTTCTTCCGAACTTGATCGATAAATAACGTCAGTTTTGAAAAATAGTTCATTCATGTAATTTAATATAATAGTATCGTAGCTGCAGTAGTACGATTGTACGATTATTCGAAATAGGATTTAATGGTTGATTAAGTCAGCTACCAATATTGTCACGAAAGAACAGATTTTTAGCATGCAAGTTTTGGCCATATTACCTAGTAGATTTGGATTAAGCACTATAAAAACGTCAATTTTTAGCTTGTCTGTAATTACCAGGAACAAATAATCTAATCATATTTCAGTCTTCATTGTTGAATGCAATAAATTTCAAGCATTCGGTCTCTCCAGTATGAGGGACGCCACCATCATTAGCAATTGAATTCTAACTTCTCAATGTTTTCTAGTTTGTTCACAATAGTAATTAGCATGCGCGAAAACTTGTTTAACTTCATCACTTCGTAGCGCGTGATCAACTAACTTCTCTTTTGCCTAGGAACTGGGAATTTTCTAACATCTTATATGGATAACAACCAGCCGGACGATTATCCCCCACAGGCAACACAGTCTCGATTTGCCAATTCGCGACAATATAAATACCAGTATCAATCCTAGTTGATCCGCCAATGTCAACACTATGCAAGCATCATCAGGTGGTTACGCCACCAACATGCCAAACTGAATTTAAAATTGAAATTTATTAAAATATAAATTGCATATCGTTTGCCCTTTACCGCTTGCTTTTATCCATTTTCTATCCCAGCTTTTAGACACTGAGTTTCAAACCTTTTTAACTTTTCTATTTTCACATTTCTTTCACATATCAGAAGTTCGCCATTTCGATGCTAACTATCTTTCGCGTTCGCGTCTTGTGCTGAGTCACACTTAATCGTTAACATATCTTTGAAGCACAACAAAATATAAATTTGCGAGTAATATTAGATGTATATGAGGTTCATTTTGCATTAAAATGATGAATTACTATAATGATCTAATGAATTTGTTAGAATGCTCTTTTTATGACAAACATTTTAGTTAGAACTTATTTGGAATTTCATAAAATGTTTTGTAATTAAAGACTTTGCGGTCGTTTTTGTTTTGTCAGTGATATTGCCTCAACTATGTTTTTTTTCTGGCTCGAGATTAAAATTTAAGGGTTTTGAATGAACAATCGCCTTACAAGATTTGTTCAATTTTAAGCATTTCTAGCCGAATAAAAGAAATGCCGATGGAACATGACACCTCAAGTTGGGTAATGTTGGTAATCACTTAAGTTCGCCAACTTTGTATAAGGTTTTGGCACTGAACTTTTCTCGAGAAAATCGATGGTATTTTTCCGAAAGAATTTCCAATATTTTCGTGTTGGTCATTAAATGTTTTTTTTTGCTTAGGTCGTTTGTTTTTGTAGCAAAGCTTAAAGCTTTGTATTTTTATCTTTAAAATGCTATTTCATGAGTTAAATTCAGTGTCAAATTAGCTCGCTGGCAACCGGTCTTGGCGGTTGCTCACAATGTAAGCGCTCTTTAACAACAGATACAAGTATAAATCAGAATAAATAGTAAGATGTGAAACTTTGGCGTGGCAGTTCGGAGTGCAGCATTTTATGCCTTTTTGTGTCTAATGCAATTTAATCATTTTTTGTTGATTTTGTTCACGCTGAGTTTTATATGCTGGCTATTTGGTTATTGATAGTTTTTAAGTTAGTACTCCAAAAGTTTTTACCACGAAAATTTCAACTGGTAAAAAATCGAGCTTGGTAATATTATCTTTCAATTCTTGAGTTATGTTTAGGTTACTGTACTCATATAGTAATTTCAGATAAGGTACACCGTCTGCTCGTCACGCTATCTAATTTTCGACCGGATAGATTCGTGCAACTTCTTAGTCTAATACCGATCTTAATCTTACTCTGAAATCTCCTAGTCTCAATAGATCTAGTGTACACTGGTTTACGCGAGTTAGTTCCAGAATGAGAACAACTGTATACTAAGTTTAATTCAAATTGCTCTGGTGTTGAAACTACAAGTAGTTTCAACACTTTACAAATAAATAGGTTGTTAGTTTTATGGAATATGATTGGCTAGTATTTAATATTTTATAGAGATAAAATATCATACTATTAACCAATTATAAATACTAGTTTAGATCTGGTTCCACCCATCCGGGGTTTAGAGAGTTTTAGTTTTTGTTCTCTTATATTCATCTGCGATGGAGGATTGATGAAGTTCGTTTGTATGTCGCGAGCATCATTTCTGTTCCGTTCTTGGAGAAGGAAGCTCCAGGAAGCTGGAATCGTGGATATCAATTTGTCATTCAACAATGACTGTGACCGCCAACTGATTCCAGAATGGTTTGTTATGGTCGTTTGTTCTTGTTTTGTGGAGAATTGTGTTTCGGTCTCGTTTGGGAGTGGCGTGAAGTTCGAGCTTGGATGCAATGCCTGGTGACTTGGATCTGTACGTATACTTGAACATCGAGATGGCCATTGTTCTGTTGCAATGGATTTCCTTTTCTGCGATGCCAAATCGTACTCTAAATCCATTGAGTGTAGTGACTGTAGGCAGCATGTCAGGTGCGTTTTGCCATTCCGTAGTTGGAGTGTGATTGGGTTGTAAGATTCCTTGATGCTCGTCTTTGGGCTGTTTGTAATCTATATACTGCATTATACCATTTACATATACAAATCTTTGTTAATCCTATTTTTTTAGTTATGATCTTTATATTAGTTTTTATCGCAAAAGCGTTATTTAGTTCGGTTATTTTTAAGAGCTACTCACACTTGAGTAACTCTCGTCAAAAATAGTGTCGTGTGTGTCACAAAGCGTGGATGTAGCACGGTGCGTGAGGCCGGCTATAGAGCTTGCTCAGGACGTCCTCTTCTGGTGGGTTAGGCCAGAAGTGAGGCTGTTAGGTTGCGGTTTATGGTGTTAAGTTAGCTTGCGTTGGTTAGTTTGGATTATTATATAATTCCTTTCCAACCGGGTTGAAGGAAAATTTGAAACGTGTGATATTTGTTAAAGTTGTTATGAGAGTAAGTTGAAACTCAAGTTCAAGATTTTAAACAATTCTTTGTGGGCGAGCAGTGCGAATTAGGATAGAATTTGTGGGCGAGAGTATATAAAGAAGCGTCTGTAAAAAGGTTAGTACTGCTATCTGCAATTTATGAACAATTTGTATTAATTGACTACTTTTGAAATAAGAATATTTAATGCTTGATTTGGGGGTTGAAATTATTAAGTTATCTTCAATTTATGAATATTTACTGCTTTGGGGGAAAGAATTTATATATTAATTTACTGCTTTGTACGGGATAATTTTATTGCCTCAATTATGGACAGGTTAATAAAAATGAATGATTTTGAAAAAGAGTTTCTGTTTTTTATTTTGCTTTTTTATTTGTAGATAATTGATGATTGTGCCTATAAAGAAAAAGAGTTAGTGTTATTTGAATTTATTGTTTAAACATTGAATTCATATTACCTTAATCGTCGGTGAAGAAGCCATGGGGGAAAACATCATGGATGATATCGGATGAGATTAGTAGTTTAGCTAACAAACGAATGATGTGTTTAGTTTGCAAAAGTGGCCAAAGCAATTCAAGTGCTTTAATGATGTAACGTTCTTCAGTGTGAGTGTGAGGTGACTGTTCATACGGTTTGTTTTGTATTAGGTTATATAGTTTGTGATTGTAGCGAGTGTTATATATTAATTCTAGGATGGGAACTTCGACGGGCTGAAGGAATTCATGAGGGAAAATTAGTGGGCTGGATTCGTCTACGTTTATGAGTTTGTTTAGTGGGCAGAAGATATACATCTGGGCAATGCGGTCATAATTTCGGAGGGTGCCTTGTAGGTTAGTGTCTTTAATACAATAGGTGAAGTTAAGAAAAAACAGTGATGTGTATTTTGAGTTGATGTATTGAAATCTATGGTGAAGTTGTCGTGCTGGTGTATTGTGAGTGTAATGACTTTGAATAAATTTATAATAAGTGTACGTATGTGTTTGTTTAGTTCGTAACATGACTTCGTGTGAACAGTGCAAATCACGTTCTTTAGGAGTGAGGAAATGAAAGGTTAGTGAAAAATGGTTGAATTTGTTAAAGTATGATTCATAAGCAGTTGTATTGCGTAGTGCTGCAGAGATGACTTTGTCATATTTTTTATTTAAGATGTTGAGGGTGAAGGTGTATGAGGTTTAAATGAAAATTTTTTCGGTTAATTGAGGATTAGTGTATAGATCGCCAAGTAGACAATTGTCTTCATTTGGTCGGATGATATTGTGGTCGTAATAATCGATGGGGTAGTTATTTGGCTTTTGGTGCAGTGAATTTTGTTCGTGATTCTCTATCCTATTTGCGTGAATTGGCGTGGAGTTAGTGCTGTTGTTAGGAGGTAGAGTAAGGTGCTGCTTACTTCATTTTTATGAGGGGTGTTATTTAGTGGTAATGTTAATGGATTAGTAAAGTGGTAATAAGATGTCCATGAGAGTGTGGGATATAAGACATGCTCGTTGACATAGTTGGGTTTTTCATCGTTGGGGGCGGAATGGAAATATGTATATTGTGGGAAAAAGAGTAGGCATATTTGTAGGAATTCTTTCGTATTAGTGTGAAGTGGATGATTTATGTATGAAGTGGATGTTCCTGGGTTAGATGGTAATGGGGTATTTGGGAATTTTTTTTTGAAGGTTCGGAATGCGCGTCTTGTACTAGAGGATGGGGTTGATGGAGAAGTGGGGTTTTGGGAGGGTGTATAAGTTGAAGGGGGGTTGGAGTTGATAGTTTAGGTGATGTTAGGGATCGTGAAAGCTTGTGAATAGTTAGTGTCTGAGGGTGTTGCATTTGTTGGTGTTATGAAATTATCTAGTTCATGTGAAATTTGTGTGTGATCTTGGTCGTTGTTATCGGATGATTCACTAGTTAGAGGGGAATATGTGGGTGTGACGTGAAATGGGAGAAGGGGAAAGAGGTTCAGTTTTGACTTGGGAATGGAGAGGTTGAAAGGGAGGTTGGGAAATGTCCATGGACTGGGTTTGGAGTTTGCAAATTCGTCGGGTGTTTCAATATCGGAGTTGTTGAATTGGGAGATGGTATTTCATACTGTTGTGTTGGAATTAGTATCTGATTCCATGCTAGGTGAAAAGTTAGGATGAGGTGACTGAGGTGGGGGGAAAAGCAAAAAGTGGGATGATGGGGAGGTTGTTCTGAAGGTTGGCTGGGTGGGAAAATGAACGATGGAGGGATCCGAGCTGGCGGCTCATCGTGGGCTAAAAAGATGGTTATTCTGAGAACGAAATTTAGTGGTATGTGGTTGTTCTATAACTTGTTTGTATGTGTCATCTATATGTGGTTGTTGTGTTATTATATGTTGGATTGGGCTTTGTGGATAATTTGATCTTGAAGTTATGAGGTCTGATAGGGCAATATTTCTAAAATTTCGTGGTATTAATGATAAGGGGTGGTTATGGTTGAAATTTTGTAATTGCAGTGCTGTGGGCGTTGTATTTGTGTCATTTCGTGATTCGTCATATGCGTTTGGTGTTGTTGATAAATTTGTATTACATTCTTTTATTTGAGCGTCTAAAAGAATTTTATTGATTGATGTTGAAAATATTCCAAAAAATCCGGCGAAAAGTATGCGTGCTACGCTTGCTTGTTTATTTACTTGTGTGTGTGTTGCGCATATATTGTAGATGCCTTTTAAGAGAGAAAAGGAATCCAAGAAAATTAAATATTGCGTATAATATAGTCAATCTTTCTAAGATGTAGTAGGGCATCCTAGAAAGGCAAGAAGTTCGTTTTTCAATTTTACTAAACTAAAGATATTTTTTGGTGATATATCTTGTGGTCTGTATTTTTGGCCATTTAAATAAATGTAATCTTTTATGTCTTTAAAATATCCACGATAATCTTGTGCGTATATATCTGAAAAATATCCACGATAATCTTGTGCGTATATATCTGAAAAGCCTGCTGTTTCTGCAAGTTTGCGTAGATTTTGCTCTCTGGATTGTCGTTGGATTGTGTCCATTTTTGTAAGTAATTCCTGAAATTGTTGTGTTCGAATGTGATGTTGAATGTCTGATTTAGA